TTGCCCTAAGCTCTAAAAAATATCCTAAATTTAGTAAAGAAGAAAAAAGGTTCAAAAAACGTAAGAACTCTCTACCCTAATTTGGTAAAAATCTATGTATACTAAAGCTGGCGCCCTCCAAAGTAGTTGCTCTCATTCTTTCATAGTAAACACGCGCAGTATCAATTGGGTTTTGCCTCTCTGGAGTGATTACTATGAATATTCATAGTAATCACGCGCAGCATTGGGACATTTTGGACTCTCTAGAGTTGTCACTATGAATTTTGATAGTAACTACGCGCAGCACCTTCAATTCTGCATGCTATGGAGTGACTACTAAGAATATTCATAGTAACCACACGCAGGTTTAGTGGATTCTGGGTTGCTGTAGTTGTCACTATAAGCTTTGAAAAGGATCACATTGGTCCCTTTGCTGGAAATGGCTTGTTGTAGTTGTCACTATCAATTTTGAAAGTAGTTACTTTCACCTCAAATTCCTCAAAATCCAATAATTCTTCAAAATAAGCTTGGGGATTCCTGTCACATTATTCAAATGATCAAAACATGTAAATTAACTAAAAACTAAGAAACCTATATTATTTAGCCTAATTGGAATATTCATCTTATTTACACTATCTAAGTCTATTCTTTTTTATAAAAAGTAATAAATGATGTATAAAAATTTAGTAAAATGTGGATTCATCAACGGTTGTTCAATGAATGAATTAAATTATATCATGAATTATATTAGAAACATGTGGAATGTGCAAGGTAAGTCTCTATGATCGTGTGTGTGTATGTGTGTGATAGTGTAGACTACTCACCTTTACATTTATTTTTCAAGTGACCAAGACGATTAGCAGCTGACTCAGTGAAAGGGATGAATGAAACTGCTATAGGACTTAGAAAATTTATTTTGAAACTTGTGATGTATTGATAGGTCTTATAACAATGATTTGATTCAAAATTTATAATCCATCCTTATTTTGAAATACTTTATTAAACTATGTATTGGAAATAATTTGAATAAAATTTTATTATTCCCACTTATTGCAAAATTTATTTATTTAGAAATTAAATTAAGGTGTTACAGAAGATGGATTTGTTTCTCAAATCTAAATTAATTACAAAGATTAGTGACTTCTAAGGGATAAGTCATCTTAATCTTGCAATCCTATGGTTTCTAATTTCTAAAGCAACACTTAATTGAATTACATCGAAGGGATTAGGGTGATTGAGTTAAATGTTAGGGTCATTGAGTTAAAGAATTAACCTTTGACTAATAATTTGTGAAACTGATTGTCAACTAATTCAAATACTTGAATGTTCAGAACATGATTGAGTTAACACAGAAATTTTGATGAAGTAATTTCCTAGCTCTAATTCATTCATACATTTCATCTTAATACAATTTTCGTAGTTATGTTTTACTTCAAGTTTATTTTCTTTTATACTTGTTATTTCTGACTTTTACATAATACAAGCTCTCTAATCAATTACATGGCTCAACTAAATGTTGATTTGTGAAGTGATAATTGAGAAAAACAATCTCTAAGAACAATACTTGGGATGGATGAATGAAACTACTATAGGGCTTAGAAAATTATTTTCTTTGAAAATCCTAACGTAGTTGAACTAGTCCTTTAGCAATGACTTGATATAAATTGTAATCCATCCTTATTTTGAAACACTTTACTGAACTGTGTATTGGGAACTGTTTGAATGAAATTTTTTATTATTCCAAATTTTACAAAATTTATTTATTTGAAAAATTAAATTAAGGTGTTATACTCTGTAGGCTTTAAATTGTACTAAGATTGTTAAAAATTTGATTTATTTATAAATGAATTTTTGGAATGTAAATACTCAACAGTTGGCACCATTTAATGTTTTTTCATTTTGAATTTAGATTGAGAAAAATGTATTTCTAATGTTTTGTTAAGTAACCGTGAAAGGATTTATTTACAAGAAAGTATTAATTTCATCATGTTTTTATACTATTTGCTTTAAGAAAATTCATTTAATTCCTTTCAATTTATCATAATTTATCATATTATTGAATGTGAAAATAGGGATGTTACAGGTAACATGTTTCTATAATGCCTTCTTAAAGAATCAATTCCTTCATCTGTAAAATTGTACCATAAATAATATTTCTTGTATGTTGTGTGATATCAGTCAAGATAAGTGTTAAAGAGTAAGTTTAGTCACAAAGTCTGTCGCAAACAAGTAAGTTAGTGACAATTTTTTTAGCAAAAAATAAAAAAAATAAAACTAACATATACATTGAAATTTTATAAAAATTAAAATAAAATTTTGATAAATAACAAAAATTAAAACATTTTAAAAGATTATAAGAAATAAAGACAAATTTTATTTAGAAAAACAAAAAAGTTACAATGCTTACATTTTCAAAGGATTAGAATATAAAAAAAATATGGATGACAAAAAGATAATTTAGCTTTTATTATTTACTTAATAAATATTTTTGTTGATTAATAAATACTTGATAGGAATCCCCTTGCTGGAATTCTGGAAGAGGACCTTTCTTGGATAAAAAAAAATGCATAAAGGTTGGAGAACATCGTTTACAAACTCGGAACTATATCTCAAGTTATAGAACTCAAAATTAAACGAGACCAAAACGAGGTGAATCCTCACGTTTTGAGAAGCAATTTTGACTCAAGAATCATTGAAAAAGGATTTGTAGAACGGAAGTTATGAGCAAGACATGTTTTGGACAAAAATTGGAATGTCGTTGACGAACTTGGAGCTGTATCTCAAGCTGTAGAACTCGGAATTGAATGTGACCAAAACGAGGTGAATTCTCACGTTCTGGGAAGCAATTTTTACTCAAGAATCATTGAAAAAGGATTTGTAGAACGGAAGTTATGAGCAGGACTTGTTTTGGACGAAACTTGGGAATTTAGGATTTCAAGAAAAACGTGATGGTGATAATGGGTGGCACCACTTTCAGGGAGAAAGATAAGCCACAAAGATGCCACAAGGAAGGTGGAAAGCCCTTGATAAGTCTCAAACTTGGTTCAGCCAAGAGCCTGGGAGAATCATTCTCACACAAAGTTTTATTTGATAATCCAAATCTACTTTCATTGATGTAAATGTACATATAGGGGCTGCCACTTAGCAACCACAAAACTCTAAAAGTTATTATGGGCCAGCTAGCCCATTAAAACATAATGAAAATAAAAGAAATAACAATAATTAGAATTTATTGGACTAAATTTGTATGCCCATATGGCAGCCCACTTAAACTTATGATAAACTTTATTTAGTAGCATACAATGCTTTTAAAATAATAAAAATAAAATAAAAATACTAGCAGCCCTTCTTGCATCAAGGGTCTTCAATGGGGACAATGCAATGAACTAATTTAGGCTCTAAGTCCTCCAATTTAGACGCAACTTCAAGAATTGTTGCTATCACTTGGTTTAGAGTCTCCTTAGCCTTCTTAGTTCTTGCTCTAGTCATAAGTCCCCCAAGTCCTTCAAATGTGTTGTTTCTCTTGTCCTTAACCATGTCCTCATCAATACTCATTTGCATGTGAATAATAAAAGTAATTTTAATTATTAAATAAAGAGATCTTTTAACTTATATAACATTACACATTACAAAAATTTATTTATATATAAATATATATGTTAAGTTTTTATTAAAAATTACAATTTTTTTTATAGTGAAATTATTAAATATTATATTTTTAATAAAAATAACATATATATAAATTTTATAATGAAACTTAGGTGCATTATTATATATTATTAACGTTGTTTTACCATTAGAATTAGAATTTTACACTACTAATATGAGATAATTTAGTGTAGACTTTTAATCTCAATTATATAAATTATTGAGATTAAACTTTAATTTTGATTTATAAATTTTGTTTTTAAAAAATATTAACAACATACTCTTTAATATTTTATTTTTAAAAACATGCTTAATTATTAATTAAAATTAATTAAAAATTATGTAAATTCTACTTTTTCTCAATACTAATTTAATATTTTTTATATAGTTTATATTTTTTTCATAAATTTTAACAAATAATTAAGAGAATGTGAGAGTATGATCTTAATATTTTTTACATGTTAAAAAAAATTTAAAAATTCGGGAGAACTACTTAGAGTGTTTGACTTGTTTCTCTATAATAATTAATTTAATATAAATAATAAATAATTATAAATAAAGAGAATTTTGAAAAGAGACTTAAAATAAAAAGAAAAGATAAATATAATTTAAAATAAATATAAATTTGAAAAATTTAATGGGCTTAAGTATATTTTTTAAATAATAATAACAATTGCTTTGTTTCTAACCTTGAGCAGAGATAAGAAAAAGTGCAATGGAAGATAATAATCTTCATATTATATGTTTGTATTGAAGTAAGTGTTGCGCAATATAAGTGTTCCTAACTGGACATCTGGTGGGAGAGCTAGTTTTGCGCAATTTGTGTTGCCGTTTGAAGTAAGTCATTAAAATAAGGAGGCTTGTCTAATGTGTGATTTAAAATTAAGGACGATTTTCTAAAGTTTAACCCAACGTACGGCAGATAATAACAACAACAATAATAATAATAATAATAATAATAATAGTCAATTAATAGATAAAATACAATATTAATTAGTTTGATAATTTTCCCTTTTTGCATAGAAGAATCGTCGTCGATTAGTATCCTAGGAAAATTGAAATGTAAAGATACACAAATTTATATCAAACTAATCATGGCTAAAATATTTGCAAAACATTATCTTACTTAGACTACAACAAAGTTAATCATTAAGCCAAAGCAAAAATTAATGTTCGCAAAACATTATTGTCTAACTCAATAGACCATGAAACATTAAATAATTTTAGTGTTTTGTCCATAAATGTCAAACTGACAAACACAAATACACATGGTGAGTCAACAATGTGGATCCTTGTTGTCCTTAAAAATATTCGACTCGAAGCTTACTAATATCAGTCCTTCCAAGCAATTGGAATAAAGACAACACCACCGATCAAGATTCCACCAAAAACCAATCTTCACCTTTTTCTTCTTCAACTTGATCCATTGAATCCATGATAAATGAAAACCCCATTTCAGAAATGCATTTGCTATCATCCTTCTCCACCCGATAGCAATCACCAGAAGTGGAAGAATAATTTACATGATAATGAACTTGGTCACCACCTTCATATTCCACCTCATCTTCGATGTAATCATTAGAAAGATGGTCCAATGTTTCGGTTGCGGACAATCCAAAAAGATTAGAATGGGGTGGATCCATGACTCGCCAATTTTGTTTGTGCTTTTGGGTACCTTTGGTCTTGTCCTTGGACTTGCAAGCTGGGTTAAGGTGGCAATCATTGCACCGCGGTGTGTCACACTTGCCCGTGAACTTGGAGTGATTGGTTGGCTTAGAAGACACCTTTACGAAGAGTCCAGCAGTGGGAGGGGAATCAAATCGGGTGATGAATCGGGTATTGGGTCTTGGGTTTAGTGGGGATGGTAGGATCCTATAAGACCTTACCATACCATGTTGCCGACCCTTTCTCTTCATTAGTGTTCAATTCAAGTTGTTGGCCACGGGAATCAAACCAGAAAATTAAAACAAAAAAAGCAAAGAACCAGTGAAGGGTTTATGGGTGAGGAATGAATCAGCTATTCTTTTTAAAGTGTTGCCTTCGCTATATTGATACTTTGGGAGCAAGGAAGATTTAACTAACTAGCGTGTAGACCAAGTATATATGAAAAATAATGTAATTTTGACAATTCATTTCGATTAAATAAATGAAGAGAAGACACTTTTGATTCATTTATGGGTTATTTAATTCCTATGATCTTATCCTCACCATTTATGCATGATAAAATGTTCAATTCGGTGACATGGAAGAAAATAGAAACTACTCCATTCATAATTAGTTAGTTCTTTTTCTTATTTTGATAAAATACAAGAGATCGAGAAAGTTACATACGCAACTAATTAGGACTATCAATTACTTTGATTTTTAACATTATAACATTAATCAATAACTAATTTATTCTCTCTAAATTTAATAATTAGTTTCAATTTAATTCTTAAATTTTACAACCATTAGCCAATTTAGTCACTAATATTATAAATGAAATTAACTAATGCTCAACAAAACTTATGACCAAAATAATTAATTATTATCCAAGTTAAGATTTAAATTTACTAATTATTACACTAAGATTAAAAATGATCGACAACTATTTTAAACTTATTTTATATATTAATATAATCGATTATTGTAAAAATTCGGTTAGTCAAAGCGTTGCAAATTCGCGCACCATTTTATATTAAATACGATCAAAACTAATATTAATTAAATTTTTAATACATAAAAGGAAATATTTCTATTAAATATGTAAATTTAATTAACTGTCTAAATATTGATTTATAAATATTTAAATAATTTTTAGGGTCAAGATGACCTATCCTACCATCTTGATAAACAATAAATAACGATGATACGATGATTAGAAGAATAGTCTATGAAATTAAACAAATAAGGAATATAAAAATTAGATTAAATATTATACAACCACCCACTTGATCGAGAAGATACACATTTAGAAAGAAATTATAATTGTACTCAACCATTTTATAATTGTCTAATATCATACAGAGTTAATAAAATGGGTAGACATGATGGCTATCTGAATATATATCCATATGATGATTAAATTTAAATTTTCTTTTAGATTTGCATACTACAAGTTTGGGCCGTCGGCATTACCTTTTTTCTTTTTCGAGTATACAAATTGTTATATTTAAATATCATATTGTTGTCAATAAAAAAATGTCATATTATTTTATTTAAATGGTTGAAACTACTGATAATGTTTATTTTTAATACTTAAAAGTGTAGCATCCTTAACTTTATATTCAATTTATATAATAAATTATGATAAAATAAAAAAATATATATTTTTTTAAAACAAGTAGTATGAAAATGCTATGAAGTTTAAATTTTCTTGTAAATAAATTTTTTTGTAAAACTTTACAAAAATATTATAAATAAAAAATGATAAATTGTATCTTAATAATTAAATTTATTCTGCAAGTTGTAACATCTCTATTTTTTTATTCATAAATTTTAATAAAACTTAATTAAAATAGGTAACATTTTAGATAAATTATGAAAGGTTTATGTTGATTTAAATTTTAAAACATTAGAATTTATCAAAATCTTAAAAGTCTTTACAGATAAATTTCATTCATAATATAGAAATATATTTTCACAACTTAATTTAACTTTACAAATAAGATTGAGAGAATTAATTACTAAATATTACAAATATAATTCAAATTATTATTTACAGTAAACTTTATTAAACCATTAAAATGTCTAAATTTGACATCAAATTGTTTATATACCAAAATTCAATTTCTAATAAAGACTTAATCAAAATTATTACTACCTTAATACAACCTAAATCTTAACAAAGCAGATTCTTTCTTGCTGTTATTGAGAATATGATCCTGGAATGAATTGTCCTTCATTTCAATTCCTGAAAAATAGTTGTAAAGGTGAGTGTTTACCGCCTCATTAAATCCTTTATTTTATGAAAAATAGTAATATAGAAACATTTTTAAATACAATACATCAAAATAATATTAGTTTGCATATTATATTAATGAACTTATAGCAGATCAAACATAACAAGCACATTAGTAATATTTCAAAACATACACTAAGACTATATCATTCATTCATATATTCTTATATCAATCAATATGTCATAATACATGAGTTCTAATCATATTAATCAATGTATTACAATACATGCATTATAATCACACTCATCGATGTATTACAATACTTGTATTATAATTAGACCAATCAATCTATTACAAAACATGTATTATAATCACAACATCACTATATTATAACTTAGACATCATGAGTACACATTCATTGTCCCTAGCTTAAGATCTTCATAGTATAGATAGTTGTTGGTTAGTTGCAACAACACGGATACAATGTGTGCCAACTTGACCCTTTTAGCAATAGTGTGTCAGAAGTATAGGTTAGGAAATGAGTGTGAGGCTTTTGATACTTTCATTCTTAACAGTTTGTGTGCAATTTAAAAGAAAGCATTCACCACTGTACATTTTCCCAAGTTTTTCCAAAATTGACTCCATCTTCCATACTCCCAGTATATCTCTGTCACTATTTGATGTAATCTTAGAAGTCATAGGTTCACACATACATATACTTTTGTACTTGCTTTGCTCATGTTTAGAATAGTTTATTTTCAGCCTTGTATTTTGGCCATGGGCTCAAGAAGCCCATTAGGATTTGAGTGAAGTCTTTTGTATTTTTATTTAGGCTTGTATTAGGCTATGTTTCAGGGCATGTATTCAGCCCAAATCTCCATCCCCTTTCTTTTCTTTGTTTTAAGGCTCATTAGAGACCATTTTGGGCCTTGAGTTAGCTTGCCTATATATAGGTTAAGCTCCTTTGTAATTTTTAGATTTTTGATTCATTTGATGCATTTTTCAGCATAGTCTCCTCTTGAGTGAGTGAGTTTTCTCTGAATTTTTTCATTGAAAATTTCAGAACCATACTCTTATCATGGATTCTTCCATGTGGTGAGTGCATTGATGCTTATCTTCAATCCTTTGAAGTGGCACGTTGCATTATAATTCCATTTCCTTGCTTTCCACTTGTTTTTTCTTCTTTATTTGGTGCTAGATTTGTGAAAACTCTCCATACATTCTGCTTAAAACCATGGCTGAAACATCTCTTGGACGATCCGCTTTTGGTCATTCTTGAAGGAAGCTTTAAGGATCACATCACTATCTAACACATTTCCATCACTTTTTCATGACATACCATTTTCTCAACAATTCTCTTTTCATGACTTTCTTTAACATTCAATCATTTTCACACTTTCTTAATAGTTCAAACAACACTTTATACAAATCCATATTCTCAAATATTCACACTAATAGTCATTGTAACACCTTAATTTAATTTCTAAAATAAATTAATTTGGCAATAAATGGAAATAATAAAATTTCATTGAACGGTTCCTAATATATGGTTTCAATAAAGTATTTCAAAATAAGGGAGGGTTACAAATTTGCATCAAAATAAATGCTATAGGACTAACTTAAATACATCACAATTTTCAAAAATAATTTCCTAAGTCCTATAATAGTTTCATCCTTCCCATTCACTAAACCTGGTGCTGATCATCTTGGTCACCTGAAAAATTAATGTAAGAGTGAGCACTCTACACTATCACACACACACATACACACAAGTATAAAGACTCATCTTGCACGTTTCGCATAATTACAATACCATTCAAATCAAGCATAACACAAACACAAATTAATATTTTATAACGTTGCACATACAGGTGCGTTCATTGCATTTTAGCCATGCTCACTGTGGCACTGTGATCACAGTTTTCTTGATACCCTCAACCTCAGGAACTTACACAGTTTCACACTATGAATGGTCTCCGGTTAGCCCCTGCCTCACGGATACAACGTGTGCAGTCATGGGCCACTTAGCAAAGTGTTAGTCAGAGACTGAGTCAAGAGGAAAGTGTGTGACCTATGGGGCACCCACGCTCACTGTTGATGTCACCACCACCCTCTCTTTCCTAAGGTATTTCTACCACCCCATCTTCCACACCCTAGTGTATCGCTGTAACCATTCATAGTTTTCAACATTTTCAAACACAACCACAATCACATCAACATGCCATTCACGCATATTCTCACCCATTTCATATTATTCATCATCAACCAATGGGATATCAACACATACAATCAATCACATTACATTCCACACTAAATTTCCATCACAATCAAACAATTCTCATCAAATACACATCTTTCTGCATTTTATCCTAATCACATTGCAATACATAATACAATAAACAAATTCTAATTATAATGAGATAGGATAGAGTCCTCTTTTACCTCGGATTGAAGTCTCAACATGAATTCAACAATGGAAATGCTCCCTACACAGATTTTTGTCATAAACACATGAGAAACTCCATGAGAAACTGAGAAAACAAAGATGAGGGACGAGCCAAAATCCTAGTTCTTAAAACTTACCTCCAAACATCCCAAATATGATCTCAACCTTCAATGTTGCACCCAGACATCTTTGGAGGCAATTTAATCGGTGAAATAAGATTGGAAAAATTGAGAGAATCGAAAGAGAGCTTGAATAGAGGAATGGGAACTGAGTTTTCCCTAAACCAATCAAATACCCTAGGGTTCGCAATACTCTCGCTACAACAAGACACTCTGGTTTCTGCATAATCTCGCTACAGCGAGACTGCACCCAGAAAATGCACCTCCTCTGTTGCCTTTTCGTTACAGCGAGGAGTCTCTCGCTACAGTAAGAATGCAATAGAGGCACCCCCATCTCTTGAGGCCTTCTCACTACAGCGAGAATGCAAGAGTCATGCCACTTGCCCAAGACATTCTGGCTATAGTGAGAATTCTCTTGCTACATCGAGAATGTCCTTGCAGCATACACTTAGCCTATTTCCAATCAGTTT